TGTGTGAGATACCTGGGTGATGGGGGAGGGAATCCAGCCTGTGGGAGATACCTGGGACATGGGGCTACTACCAGGTGGGTTTGGTGGCCAGGGGGAGGGAGGGGCTCTGAGCAGCTGCTTGAGTGGCTCGAGTTAGGGACTGGCTGCTGCTGGGAGTGCAGCTTGTGTGAGGGGCCTGGGCAGCCTGTGTGAGATACCTGGGACATGGGACAGGTAATCCAGCCCAAGCTATGTGGCACAGGGAGCCACAGCACTGGGCACAAGAGGATTCCTACAGCTGGAGAGCTGCAGGTGTTCTTTGCTGGACAGATGTTTGACAGCTGCACTCCTGTGAAAATGCCCTGGGTGTGAGGGTGCAGAGTCAGGGCTCACTGGAGCTGGTATCTGAGCTCCGGTTGTTTCTAATAATTCTAAGAAATAGAATTTTAGTAAATAGAATCCCAGGCTGGTTTGGGTTGGAAAAGATCTTAAAGCCCTTCCAGTCCCAGCCCCTGCCACGGGCAGGGACACCTTCCACAATCCCAGGCTGTTCCAAGCCCTGTCCAGCCTGGCATTGGCCATGTCAAGGGATGGGGCAGCCACAGCTCTGTGCCAGGGCTTCCCCACCCTCTCAGGAACAATTCCTTCCCAATATCCCATCTCACCCTGCTCTTGGTCAGTGGGAAGCCATTCCCCTGTCCTGTCACTCCAGACCCTTGTAGAACAATCTCAGAGCGTTTGTTGGTTTGTTGGTTTGTCCCTGTGATGGAATCAGCCCACTCTGTGACCCAGTGCCACTCCAGGACTGCTCTCATGCCAAACTGGTTTCCTTTTCCCTGCCAGGATTACTACAGCAGTGGGTACTACCCCGAGGTGGAGCCAGCCCAGGCCTCACCCCAGGAGAGCAGCACCGACTCCTCCTTCATCGACGACGAAGCGGTTGGCACTTCCTTGTCTGTCCCCCTGTGGAATTTGGCTTTGGGCTCTGCCAGGGCACAGGAGCCTGCTGGCAGCCACGCTGCTGCCCCCCAGCACAGCCTGGGTTTCCAGGGGGTTGGGCTGTGTGGTTTTTCTGGGGGGCCTCGTGCTGTGTTGTGGGCCCCTGCTCCAGCTGGGTCTGCAGGCTTGATAAGTGAGTGGCTATTCACAGAACACAATCAATTGTTGAGGTGGGAAAAGGCCTCCAAGACCATCAGCCAGCACTGCCAAGGCCACCACTAAACCATGTCCCCAAGTGCCACATCTGTGTGGCTTTTGAATCCTTCTGGGTGGGGACTTCACCACTGCAGCCTGTGCCAGGGCTGGACAACCCTCTGGGTGTAGGAATTTTCCCTATATCCAACCTCATCTTCCCCTGACACAACTTGAGGCCATTTTCTCTTGTCCTGTCCTTGTTCCCTGGGAGCAGAGCTCACTGGCTGTCCCCTCCTGGCAGGGACTTGTGCAGAGCCAGAATGTCCTCCTGAACCTCTTTTTCTCCAGGCTGAGCCCCCTCAGCTTTCCCTGGTGCTCCAGCCCCTTCCCCAGCTTTGTTTCCTTCTCTGGACATGCTCCAGCTCCTCAATCTCTTTCTTGTCATGTGGGGCCCCAAAGTGACCTTAGGATTGGAGGTGCCTCAGCAGTGCCAGCACAGGGGATGAGCACTGCCTGCAAGCAGCAGTAACTGCTATTTTACACGCAGGAAAATGAAATTACAACCTTCATGCTAAGTAGTTTTAGATACTCTCATGTACAGCACGCTGAAATTCTCCAAAAGATCAAAACCCCAGCTGGAAAACTGTTTGCTGTGCCTGGTGTCAGGTCAGTGCTGGGTGTAATTCCAGCTCTTGTGTTCTCCCTTCAGTTCAAACGGCTGCAGGGCAAGCGGAATCGTGGGAGGGAGGAGATCAACTTCGTGGACATCAAAGGTGACGACCAGCTGAGCGGGGCCCAGCAGTGGCTGACCAAATCCCTGACAGAGGAGAAGACCATGAAGTCATTCAGCAAGGTGGGTGCAGGGTGAGGGCCTGGAGCCTCTCTCAGTGCCCAAATCAGCCCCAGCTGGAGCTGTGTTGGCTGCTGGGCAGCCACCATGGGAGAGAGCAGTAGAGTTCCTCAGAACACAGCATGTGGCTGGGGAGGGCCAGCCAGGAAGTGCTGCAGCCCAAGGAATCTGCAGTTTAATAGGGAAAAAATGCTGCTTGGGGTGGCTGTGTGCAGGCCCTTGTCTTGGTTTGCTGTCCAGGCTGAACACTTCATCTCTTTCTGCTTTCCAGAAAAAAGGAGATCAGCCCACAGGACAGCAGAGGAGGAAACACCAGATCACATACCTGATCCATCAGGTGAGTGGCCTCCCTGTGGTGTGTGAGCTGAGCCAGGCACAACTGCAGGGCAGCACAGGGCTGGGTGCTGGAGCTGGGGACCAGGGGAACCCCCTGAGTCCTGGTGAGAGCCACTGGGGCCAGAGGTGAATGCTGACCCTGTGGGGGTCCCAGTCCTGAGCTTTCAGCTTTGCTTTGACCTTCCTGCACGTTCTGAGGGCCTGGGATCCTGTCCTGGATTCTGCCCCGGGGTTGGCTGCTGAGCCTGTCCCCACGAGAAGCTGCTTTTCAGCATGAATGAAATGCCTGTGCATCCCAATTAATGCAGGCCTCTGTCAGGATGATTGTGCAAGCCCCTGTCCCCACGAGAAGCTGCTTTTCAGCATGAATGAAATGCCTGTGCATCCCAATTAATGCAGGCCCCTGTCAGGATGATTGTGCAAACCCCTGTAACGAGGCTTCTGGCTGAAGGGCTCCCTAATCCACATGAGCAGGGCCAGAGGAGGCAGGAATGCTGCTGAGTCACTGAAACAGAGGGTAACAGCATCCTCTCCATCTCTGCAGGCCAAGGAGAGGGAGCTGGAACTGAAAAACACATGGTCTGAAAACAAGCTGAGCAGAAGGCAGACTCAAGCCAAGTACGGATTCTGACACATCTGTGCTGCTCTTTGGCTGGCAGCCCGGGTGACCTGCTGTGTCTGGTGGCCTCCTGGAGATCAGCCAGGCCCCAGGATGGGGCTGGGAGGACACTGCACTCCCTGGCCTGGCAGGAAGAAGGGTCATTGCAAGCAGGTTCCTGAAACTGCACCTGTAATCCTTCCCCTCCCTCCTTGTAAACGATAACGTGGGAGGTTCCCGTCGGCCAAGGACGGTCCCGAGGCACCGTGGGGAACGTGCTGGGTGTGAGGCTGCAGCTCCTGTCCTGAGGGAACAGGCTGTGCCTCCTGACCCTTCAGCAGAGGCTCAATAAACTCCCAGTTCCCACGTTGCTCCTCTCTTGGACTTGCTGTGCATTGAGAGTTTCATTTTCCTTTCTAAAACACGGTGAGTTCCAAGAGCAAGCCTGGCTTTGGAATTTTTATTTTGGTCCTTACCTTTAAGATGTCCTCACAGCTGTTTCCTCGTGTCTGGGCTGCTCCAGTACTCCTCTCATGTCAATAATTTTGAATAATTTTGATATCCTGGTTTTTAATTGGGTGTTTTTGCTCTGGGCTCCAGAGGCTGAGCCGTGCTGAGGGGTCAGAGCCTGTGCCAGGGGAAGCACCACGCATGGAGGAGAGCTTCTCCTGCTGGCACACTCAGGGCTTTGGGATACCCTGAGCCACGTGTGCATGTATATTGTCCTTCTTTTCCCTCCTCTTTCCTCCTCCCCCAGCCCAAGGCTCCTGCCCTGCCCCAGGCTGTTCTCAGACCCATCCAAGTGAGCATCCCAGTGTCCCACGTGTGGCAGGCTGGGACTGAGCTCTGCAGTTTCCTCTGGCCAGACAGAGGAGAGCTGCCAACTGTAATTTTTTTTTTCCAGCTTGTTTGTATCAATTCTGTTTCAATTAAGTGTTGACTTTACCCTCCTGGCTGGCGAGAGGAGACTGCCCAGCCCTAATTTCTTCAAATCAAACCTGTTTTTTTTTTTTATTTAAGGAATTCTGTCAAGGTGCTGCGACTGCAAATCCTGTGCAGCTCTGCTGGCCCAGTCCATGGATCCAAATCTGTGGCATCACTTTGTTGTTCACCAAAGCATGTGATGCTGAAGGGAGCAGAGAGCTGGCCTGGTTATTTAACTTATATTCCCACCAGTCTGGGTTTTATTTGGCTCAAATGGCCAATATTTGTTATTCTGGTAAGAACAACTCCCAAGAGGTGGTTTTTCTCCCATGTTACCTCTTAAAAACAGGCAAACCCCCATGACTGAAGTCTTTTCTTAAAGCATTTTAAACTAATCTCATTTTTAGTTTAGCTCCCTGTATGTTTAGTACTTTGCAGAGCCTGTTTTGAGTATTTGAATGATCAGAATAAAGTTACTGTTGAGTAATTTATTCATATCTTGTATGTACAGTGAAATCCTCCCAGAAGAGATTTGCTGAAGGAATATACTTCTAAATGAGCCCACCCAGCCCTGTTTCCATCCCAAGGGGCTCAGATCCTCATCCAGGTACCCTCTTGGCCCGGGGAGTTTGCAGTGAGGGGGTGGAACTCCCAGGTTCCCCTTTCCATTTCTCACTGGGGTAATGCCTTGGCTTTAGCACCAAGGGAAGTTCCAAGGGCTCATGTTCCACTTTCAGCCCTCTAAGAGCAACAAAATTCAGGTTTGTGAAAGGTCAGAAGTGAACTTTCCCAGAGATAAAAGCAGCTACAGTTCCCCAACCCTCCTTTTCCCTCCAAGCCAGGGCTTTGGCCATCCTGGCTGGTGCTCCTGTTGGGCTACCACTGACACTGCCCAGCTCCACTGTGGCTCACCAGGGTTTGTGTCCTCCCACGGGACAGCCCTGGGACAGTGGTGTCATCCCAAATTTTGTGGCTGGGGAAGCAGGCAGGGCTTGGAGTGCTGGCTGCAGGCTGGGAAGGTTCAGTGTAGCATCCCTCCAGTTTCTGACCAATTTGATATCCAACTGCATGCACCAAACTCATCCCTGTTTTCCTGTAACAGCTTTTTTCCTCGTTTTATTAACAGAAGTCTCTTGGAATGTGTTCATGGGTGAGGTGAGGCTCCCCCCTGTGCTGTCCATCGGGGTTGGGAAGCTGGAAGAGCTCCCCATGGAGCAGCTGGGGCCAGCAGCAGCCTTGGAGCTCTCCTCCCAGGGCCAGGAGCTTCCTGCAGAGGTTTGGGGGCTGAGGCTCCTCCTGCCTGGGAGCCGGGTGCTGGGCAGGGGGCTCAGGGGCACTCCCCAGGCAGCTGCTCGTACACGTTCTCAGCCGTGGGGTGCTGCTCCCTGCGTGTGCTCTGGCTGTACACGGGCTCATCCAGCTCAGGCTCCACAGCAACCTGGGAATTCCCGGGGACAGGGTGGGTTTGGGAGCCAGGAAACAGCACGGGGGGGGCCTGCACCCTCCCAGCCCTCCTTGGCTTTGGGACAGGGAGCCAGGTTTTGTAAGGAGCTGGAGTGACAGGAAAAGGGGGAATGGCTTCCCACTGCCAGGGATAGATGGGATTTTGAGAAGGAATTCTTCCCAGTGCCAGAGATAGGTGGGATATTGGGAAGGAATTCTTCCCACTGCCAGAGATAGGTGGGATATTGGGAAGGAATTCTTCCCACTGCCAGAGATAGGTGGGATATTGGGAAGGAATTCTTCCCACTGCCAGAAGTCGGGGATAGGTGGGTTATGGGGAAGGAATTGTTCCCACTGCCAGAAGGATAGGTGGGATATGGGGAAGAAATTCTCCCAATGCCAGAGATAGGTGGGATATTGGGAAGGAATTCTTCCCTGTGAGGGTGGGGAGCACCTGGCACAGAGATGCTGTGGTTGCCCCATCCCTGGAAGCGTTCCAGGCCAGGTTGGACAAGGCTTGGAGCATCATGGAAGGTACCCCTGCCTCTGTCAGGGGGTGCAATAGGATGGGCTTCTTTCCACCCCAAACCATTCCAGGTTCCTGGTGCTGCTGGTGTGCAGCAAACCCCCATCCCTCAGCCTGCAGGAGCCTTCCCTCGTGTTGGGGCTGAGCTCTGGAGCCGTGACCTGCCCCGGGGACCCACCTACCTGTGTGCCTGTGCTGGGACCTCCTCTGTCCGTCCTGTCCGAGCTGGGAGCCGCCCAGAGCTGCCTCCTCCTGCAGTCCTGGCTGGAAACGCTGCGCAGGAGCCGGCGGTGGGGCCGGCCTTTGGGGGGCAGCGTGCAGAAGGCGTTTTGGGGGGCCGTGGGGGGCCGAGCTGGCACATCCTGCCGGGCCAGTGCCACCTCGGAGTAGACATTCTCCTCGGGGCTGGCACGGGCGCTCCAGCCGCGGGCCATGGCGTAGAAGGGGATGGGCTCGGAGGGGATGGGTCCCCCGGGGCTGGGGGGTCCCTCGGGGACGGGGGGTCCCCCGGGGATGTGTCCCCCGGGGGTGGGCTCCTGGGGCTCGCAGTGTCCGGGTGGGCTGGGCTCCATCTCCTCGCGGGGCTCGGCATAGACGTGGAAGCACACGAGCTGCTGGTACTTGGCCTCGGGGGGCTCGGGGCGGGCGGGTTCTTTGTGCACCCGGGCATAGGGCACCTCGGGGGCCGCCGCGCTGCCGGGGGGGCTGCGCAGCCCCCCAGCCGCCCCCCGGGAGCTGCTCTTGGCGGGGAGCGACGGCGGCACACCGGGAGCCTGCGGGAGAGATGGGGCAGAGCTGGGGGTGTCCCCGCATCCCGTGCTTGGGGATTTCCTCCATCCCCCCGCCCCGTTACCTCCCCTGAGGCTCTGGGGCACTCCAGGGACACGGGGGGCTCCGGGAGCTGGGCCGGCGCTTGGCTCGGTGGGGAATGTGCGGCAGCACCGCCAGCCGGGGGCTGTGCCCGCCCTCGGGGCTCCTCTTTCTGCGGGGAGAGCACAGATAGCAGCATGGGTGTCACTGTGGTATTTTATGAAACTCCCTTTGCCGGGATTTTTTCTCCTGAGAAGCCTGAGAGGAAAAGAAAAACAAGAATTATCTGCCGCTGTGGAATGCAACAGAGTGCATCTGTGATCCATGTGAGTTGGTTTTACTTGATGCCCAAACGTGGTCCAGCTGTGTCGGGGCTCTGAGAGTCACGGATTTTTATTATTCATTCCTTTCTACCTTTCTGTCTGTATCATTTCTCTAATTGTTTTAGTATAGCATTTATAATATATCATATCAAATCAGCCTTCTGAAACATGGAGTCAAGATTCTCATCTCTTCCCTGCTCCTGGGGACCCTCAAACACAACCACAGGGTGGGTGCAAGCTCAGGGCACACCCAGCAGGGTGCTGGCTCCTTGCTCCTGCCCAGCCAGGGTGGCTTCCAGCCCCGGCTCTTGTGGTGCTTGCATTTCCCTTGGCTGTGTTCCCCAGCCTGGGAAAACCCTCTGGTTTTGCAGGAGGGGGATTTTGCCATCCCCCTCTTGGCTGCGGGGGCTCTCAGGGGTTCTTGGAGGCTCTCAGGGACTCTCAGGAGTTCTTGAGGGTTCTCGGGGCTGTCGGGGGTTCTTGGGAGCTCTCAGGGTCTCTTGGGGGCTCCCAGGGATTTTCTGGGGCTCTCAGGGATTTTTGGGGGCTCTCGGGAGTTCTTGGGGGCTCTCAGGGCACTCGGGCTCTCTCAGGGCCTCTCAGGGATTTTTGGGGGCTCTCAGGGATTTGTGGGGGCTCTCGGGGTCTCTCAGGGATTTTTGGGGTCTCTCAGGGATTCTTGGGAGCTCTCAGAGGGGCTCTCAGGGATTTTTGGGGAGCTCTCAGGGGGTCTCTCAGGTATTTTGGGGGGCTCTCGGGGGGGCTCTCAGAGCTCTCAGGGATTTTTGGGGCTCTCAGGGATTTTGGGGTCTCTCAGGGATTTTGGGGTCTCTCAGGTACTTTCACAGCATGGCACGGCATGGCACGGCATGGCATGAGAACAACATGGCACGGCATGGCACGGCATGAGAACAACATGGCACGGCACGGCATGGCACAGAACAGCATGAGAACAACATGGCACGGCATGGCAACTGCATGGCATAGCACGGCATGGCATGGCACAGCACGGCATGGGCACGGCACAGCATGGCGTGGCACGGCATGGCATGGCACGACACAGGGTGGCATGGGCACATCATGGCATGGCATGACATGGCATGTCATGGCACAGCATGGCATGGCACGGCATGGGCATGGCACAGCACGGCACAGCATGCGCGTGGCACGGCATGGCATGGCACAGCATGGCGTAGCATGGCACGGTATGGCACAGCACGGTATGGCACAGCATGGCACAGACCGGCATGGCACGGCATGGCATGGCACAGAACAGCATGGCATGGCACAGCATGGCATGGCACAGAATGGCATGGCATGGCACAGCACAGCACGGCATGGCACAGCACAGCATGGCATGGCACAGCAAGGCATGGCACTGCATGGCACAGAATGGCATGGCATGGCACAGCACAGCACGGCATGGCACAGCACAGCACAGAATGGCATGGCACGGCACGGCACACAGCATGGCATGGCACAGAATGGCATGGCATGGCACAGCACAGCACACCATGGCATGGCACAGCATGGCACGGCACGGCACGGGCACAGCGGCAGGCCGGGGGCTGAGCTCGGCCCCTCCCGGCCCAGCCTCACCTGTAGGACAGCACGAAGGCCACGGTGCTCTCGCTGAAGCGCACCAGGAAACAGCCCAGGGGCTGCTCCTGCAGCAGCTGCTCGGCCTCCCTGCAGGACGGACGGACGGACGGACGGACACTGAGCCTCCTCCCCTGGTGTGGGGAGTTCCCGGGGAGGGGACACCAGCCCTGTCCCCCCTGGCCTCCCCTGGCTCACCTGCGGCTGAGGAAGCCGTGGAACCACGAGGGGAGCTCCCCCTGCGGCCCCAACCTCTGCGCTTGTGTCTGCTCAAACCAGAGCCTGGTGCGGGCACGCAGGGCTGCCCGCTCCCCCTCGGGCACCCCCCGGGCTGCTGGGGGTGACCAGGGGCCCGGAGGGACCTGCAGGGACGGGGACAGCAGGTGAGGACACACGCCAAGGGCGTTCTGCTCCCCGTGAGGTGAGGTGGGCTCGTGGCCAGCCTGCTGTGCCCATGTCCTACCCTGCCATGCCTGCTGTGGTGCCCTGGGGGCTGCTCTGCCCCCCGGGGCTGGCTGCTGGCTGCTGGCTTGGCTCTGGCTGTGCTGGCCTCGGCGAGGGGCTTGAAGGTGGTGAAGAGGGGACGGTCGTCATCCATGGAGTGCCCTGTCCCGGTGTGAAATTATTCCGTTTGTTGGGGGTTTAGAATACCCTGAAGCTTAGCTGGGAAAAAATTGCTACAGCTAAATATATTACTGTTGAAATAATTATTCAACTGAAGTTGAAGTAATCCATACAAGACAAGAATAAAATTAAATACACTTTTTACAAAATTTGCCATGCAAAAATAAGCAGTGGTTCTTTAAAAATACTGTTTTGGGAATTCAATGGCTTTTTAAGAAACCTTTGTTTCAGACACTAAACATGGAGTGCCCTGTCCCGGGGAGTGGGGAGGAAAAGGCTCAGGGCAGGGGGGGCTCCTTTGGGGAGAGCACGGGGGAGTTTGGGGGCTCCAAGACACCCCCACAACTGGGGAAACATCACCCAAGCTCAGGCTCTGCACCCTGATCCTCCCCAGCCCGCGTGACGGGGAGGGACAGGGGACAGAGACCTTGGGAGCCCAGAGGAGAAGGGGGACAGGGATGCAGGTGGGGAGGAGCTGAGGACAGAGCATGTGAATGCCCCAGCCCCTCTGAGGTCCTCGGTGTGTCAGCTCAGCCCTGGGAAGGGCAGGGAGAGGCTGAGCAGCTCCTGAGGGACCTTGAGCTTGACCCTGAGCTGCCAACACCCAGCAAAACAACGTTAATCCCCAGCAGATGCTTGAGGGGGTGGAAGATGCTGGGGTTGGTTGGATCTGGGAGGCAAAGCTGAGTCAGAGGAGTGGGACGAGGCTTTGTCTGAGAGCAAGGGGACCCAACAAAGGCACCCCAGCTCCACCATGGCAGAGCCCAGCCTGGCCCTGCGCCCCTGCAGGCAGGGGAAGGTGAGGAAGGTGTTGACAAAGAGAAACAAAACACCCCAAACTGCAGTAAGCCAGCTCAGGCAGTGCTGGGAAGGAGAATTGGGGTCAGGTCCTGTCCAGGTCAGGTCCTGGGGACATGTCACTGTCCCCAGCTCGCTGAGTCGGGGTGCTGGGCAGGGGTGGGGGGCTCAGCCCTGCTCCCCCATCCCAACATTTTGGCCTTGTGGGCCAGCTTGGGGGGATTTACTGGGGCAGGATGTGCCTCTGAAACCCTGCACTCCTGAGGGGTGGGAACGAGTCAGATCAGTCCTGAAACGGGCTGAAAGTTCTGCTCTGCGAGACATTTCCGGGCTGAACTTCCCCCTTTGGAGAGGGTAAGATCGGGCTGGGAGGGCTGGTGTGGGCAGGGGACCCCAGTCCCTCTCTTTTCACCCCATTATCCTGCCCTTTGTCCTCTTTTGGGCAGGGGGACATCCCTGCACCTCCTGTCCAGCAGGATTTCACTCCTTGGCCTCGCTGCAAACCCAACCCCAGCCCCCAGCCCACGCTCCTACCTGTGCTCGGTGTCCCTGGGCGGGTGTGCAGGGCAGGGACGGGCAGGGACAGGCAGGGGACAGGCAGGGGAGAGACAGGGGACAGGCAGGGGACAGGCAGGGATGGGCAGGGACAGGCAGGGTGAGGCAGGGACAGGCAGGGGACAGGCAGGGATGGGCAGGGGAGAGACAGGGGACGGGCAGGGGACAGGCAGGGACAAGCAGGGATGGGCAGGGACAGGCAGGGACAAGCAGGGGCAAGCAGGGAGAGGCAGGGGAAGGCAGGGACAAGCAGGGTGAGGCAGCCCCGCTGCCCTGCTGTGCTCTGCCTCTCTGCCGGCCCCAGGCAGGAAGCAGCGAGCAAAGCTGCAAGAGCCTTCATGTGATGGGGAAACGTCACAGGAAGGTGGCATGGTGGCCCTGGGGTGACAGACAGGTGACGCCGGCAGCCTCGGGCTGTGGCGAGGAGGGGATGTGGCTGCCTGGCCGGCGGCACATCCGAGCCTGCAAAGGTGTCATTGTCCCTGCTGTCTGCAGCCTGGCACTGCCACTGCTGGGCACAGGGACAGCAGAGCAAGCACAGGACAGCAGAGGGGACAGCAGAGGGGACAGCAGAGATTGGGGGGACAGCAGAGGGGACAGCAGGCTCGGCGGGCCCAGGCTCACACCGTGAGCCCAGATTCAGTCCTGGCACAGTGCAATCGAGAACCATCCCCTTCCTCAGACTCCGGGTGCCAGAGCTTGGCCGTTCTGGGCTGTTCTGGGCCATTCTGGACTGTGCTGGGCCGTTCTGGGCCATGCTGGGCCGTGCTGGGCTGTTCTGGACAGTTCTGAGCTGTTCTGGGGCCATCAGCAGCTGAGCTGCCAACGCCGTGGCTGTGCCACGTGTCCGCTGCCACTCTCAGCCCGGGTGGTGCCAGGCTCCAGCTGGGCACGGGGTGGGCAGTGCCAGCCCCGCTGCAGCCATGGATTGGGAATTTGGGCAGGACTCAGGGCAGGGCCTGGCTCATCCATCCAGGGACAGGGCTGGGTGAGGGTTAATTTTGGGTGTGGGTGGTTGGTTGGGGGTTTATGTAGAAATTACACAGGGATGGGACTGTTGAAGAGTGTGTTTTGAGCTGGTTTATTTTTTAGCATTAATCTTGTTATGCTAATGGGAAGATGTTAGTAGCTTACATTTTTGCTAGTGGACAAAGAACTTAATGTTACAACTCACTTTAATAGTTTTTTGACCAATCACAAAAAGCAAAAGCATATTGACAGTAATTCTATCTAATCACCATAAGCACACACACCTTTAGTCAAAACAATGCTTGCTTATTTCAAATACAGTATCTGCTTGTAAGCCTTAAGATACAATGCACAGTTATTATTAAATGATTAATTTTTACCTATTATTTTTTCTATTTATTATTTATTTGTTTATTTATTATTAAATTATTATTTATTAAGTTTATAACTTCCTAATATCTCTCTAGATATACTTTTCTGCAGCTTAGGGAGTTATTTTAGACAAGAATTAATACACAGACCATTGTTCTATTTGTCCTTACTTTCTACTTCTTATATAATTTTTTCACTGACAATTTTTATAGCTGCTGCTTAGCTCCAATCACAGCTCTGCTGTTTCTGAGGCCTGCCTTTTGCAGCTTTCTCTGATTTTAAGGATTCTCACCGTGGTGGTGCCCCCCAGCAGCCCCCGCTCCCCACCTAAAGAAAGCCGTCCCTCTGTTAAAAACATGTTAGAAACTGTGGTAAAATGGTTGATAATTGTTAAGTGTGTACTGTCAGTTTGGTGATTATATTGTAAAAGGGGAGTTATAAAAAGTTACACACCTAAGTAAAGTGCACCACCCCCAAGCAAACAGAGCCAGCCTGCACAGACCTGTAATGGCCAATCAAGCACCTTAAACCTTCATGCAAATGAAGGATCCCAACAAAAAGCAATCCAAAGAGACAAAAAATGAGATAAAAAGGGGCTTCTGATGCACTGAAGTTGTGCAGCTCCACCTGGGACATGGCTGCTGAAGAAAACCCAGTGCTGGTGCTGCAGCATCCTCGACAGGAACGCTCCTACTCGGCCCACAGCCCCCCTTGCTTTAGCCCTTTATTTTTAAAAATAAAAGCTGAAATGGCTTTAGTCCGGGAGCTTGCTGTCGTTTTTATCACCTCCCCAAACCTTCAGGGCCTCCCACGTTTCCCGTGGGGCTTCCTGTTTGCGATGCTCCCCGGCACGGGAGAGGCTCTGAGCGGGGCCGTCGGCCCATCGCGGCCGCTCCCCGAGCAGCCGGGGCTGGAACCAGCAGCAATCGCTCCTAAAAAGCTTTTTCTTGGCTCCTCTGCACAGCTGGGGGTGTCCTCAAGAGCCCGCGGGAGGAGGAAAGCAAGAGCTCTTCGTGTCCTGAGCCGCTGTGGTTGGATGCTGGCGCAGCTCCGGGAATGCCGCGGCTCTGAGGGAGATCCTGGCACTGCCAGGGCTGCTGGGGCTGCAGGTGAGGGGTGCCAGCTCCCCGTGGCACACCAGGCTTGGGGCTGGCCTGGCTGGGGGGGTTTGGGGTCTAACGGGGCTTTTTGGGAGTTGGGTGCTGAGCTGGGAGCTCGTTTTTGGGCAGCCGGGGTGGTGTTCCTGGTGGGACAGGACAGGACAGGGATGGACAGGTCAGGACTGGACACAGCGGGACAGGACAGGAAAGGAAAAAGGAAAGGAAAGGAAAGGAAAAGGGAGAAGGAAAGGAAAGGGAAGGAAAGGAAAGGAAAGGAAAGGAACACTTTAAATATACTGAATTGCTCTCCAAAACAATATAATTTCCTTTTTAAAAGTAAGAAACTAGAGATCCCAGTTAAGAAATTATTCAAGGAAAGGAAAGGAAAGGAAAGGAAAGGAAAGGAAAGGAAAGGAAAGGAAAGGAAAGGAAAGGAAAGGGAAAGGAAAGGAAAGGGAAAGGAAAGGAAAAAAGAAGAAAGGAAGGAAAGGAAAGGAAAGGAAAGGAAAGGGAAAGGAAAGGAAAGGGAAGGAAAGGAAAGGAAAGGAAAGGAAAGGAAAGGAAAGGAAAGGAAAGGAAAGGAAAGGAAAGGAAAAAGGAAAGGAAAGGAAAGGACACGGTGGGACAGGAAACTCTGTCCCCACAGCCCCCGTGGCTCCAGCTCTGCACAGGAGCTCAGCGTTTCCACCAGCGCCTGTAGCCACCCGTGCCTCAGTTTCCCTCCTTTCAAAAGCAGCACAATGCCAGGCGGTGTCTGGCAAGGCATGAGGGAATCAGCTGCTTGTGTCCACCCCCAGGGGACAAACAGACACACTGTCCCCCACGGACACGTCACACGGCCGGGGCTGTTGGCCCAGCTTCAGCTGCAGCTGCCCCCGGGCACGTCCCTGCCCGGGATGGGCCAGCTCTGCCGTGCCAGGGCCGTGCCAGGGGACAGGCAGGGGGACAGGGAGTGTCCCCTGTGCGGGCTGGCAGGCTGGGGAGTGAGGAAGAAACGCTGCTGGATGTGGAGGAAGGCTCGGGGAGGGTAAGGGGGTGCGGCTGGGCTGGGAGGGGAACTGGGCTTGGGGACCCCCGAGTGTCCTTTAGGGTTTGGGGACTGTCCTTTGGGGTTTGGGGACTGTCCTTTGGGGTTTGGGGACTGTTCTTTGGGGTTTGGGGACTGTCCTTTGGGGTTTGGAGACTGTCCTTTAGGACCTCCAATTGTCCTTTAGGGCATGGGGACCACTGACTGTCATTTCTAGATATAAAAATAATATTTACTCTATGAATAATAATCTATTATATATAGTAATATATTTGCATTTATATATAACATTTATTATATAAATAATATTTATATATTTTATACATATCCGCTCCCACATTTCTCTTCTCTTCTCTTCTCTTCTCTTCTCTTCTCTTCTCTTCTCTTCTCTTCTCTTCTCTTCTCTTCTCTTCTCTTCTCTTCTCTTCTCTTCTCTTCTCTTCTCTTCTCTTCTCTTCTCTTCTCTTCTCTTCTCTTCTCTTCTCTTCCCTCTCCTCTTCCCAAAATTTTCCATAACTTCCCAAACGTCCCTTCCCAAGCTGATTCTGCACAACCCATTTTTCCCTCCCCAGCTCTGTCACCCCACGGAGCTGCCACCCTCACCCCGGCTCCATCCCGGAGCGGTGGCACCGGCTCTCGTGGGCAGGGGGAGCCCCTGGCAGCTCCCCCAGGAGCCACCCCTGTCCCCCCTGCCAGGACCTGCACACCCGGTGTTCCCTGACCCTTCTTGTCTTGCAGGGATGGCCGAGAGCAGCCGGGGGGGGCTGAGGGGTGCCCCTGGCAGCACCCAGGTGAGCCACGGCTCTGGGGGGTGTGGGGGCACTGCCAGGGGGCTGGGGGTGGCTGGGCAGGGCTGAGCTCACAGTGCTTTCATCTCCTATTAACCTGATTTTTTTAAAAAACAAAACCCAAATGTTGTGTTCTCTCTGCATTTTGCACCCCTAGCACACGGGGGGAGAGGGAGGCTGCTGTGACCCCCCCCCCTTCCTGCTCCTGCCCCATTTCCAAGCCCCCTGAGCAGCTCCTGCAGGTCCCTCTCAAGGGGTGGAAGCCCCCAAGTTTCCACCTGCTGAAGAATTCGGTGTAAACTGGAAGAACTGGGCAGGGGCTGAGCTCTGACACAGCACTGGGAATTCCCCTTGGAGGGTCCTGGGGGGCTCCCTGCACCCCCAGGTGTGGCACAGCCCGGGCAGGGGCTGAGCCAGGTCCTGGTGCTGCCCCACAGGACGTGGCTGAGCCCAGGGAGGACGAGGGCAGCCAGGTCCTGGCAGCCACCCCGAGCCCGGGCAGCGTGGAGGACACGTATGAGCTGCTGGAGAGGCTGGGCAGGTGGGCAGGTGAGGGGGATCCAGGCAGGTGAGCAGGGATCCAGGCAGGTGAGGGGGATCCAGGCAGGTGAGGGGGAATCCGGGCAGGTGAGGGGGTCTGAGCAGGTGAGGGGGTCTGGGCAGGTGAGTAGCACCCACCACTGCTCAGCAGGTTGCAGGCAGGTGAAGACAGGGCAGGCAGGGATCCAGGCAGGTGAGGGGGATCCGGGCAGGTGAGCAGGAATCCAGGCAGGTAAGGAGAAATCTTGGCATGTCAGTGGGATCTGGGCAGGTAGGGAGAGCCTGGAGTGGGATCTGGGCAGGTGAGTGGGATGTTGGCAGGTGAGGGGGATCCGGGCAGGTGAGGGGGAGCTGGGCAGGTCAGTGGGATTCAAGCAGGTGAGCAGCACCCACCACTGCTGAGCAGGTCACAGGCAGGTGAAGACAGGGCAGGCAGGGATCCAGGCAGGTGAGGGGGATCCGGGCAGGTGAGGGGGATCCAGGCAGGGGAGGGGGTCTGGGCAGGTGAGGGGGATCCAGGCAGGTGAGGGGGATCCGAGCAGGTGAGGGGGATCCGAGCAGGTGAGGGGGATCCAGGCAGGGGCTCAGGCAGGAGCGATCCCAGCTCCAGGGACCCCCAGGGCTGCCCAGGGATTTCCACTGCTCAGCAGGTTGCAGGCAGGTGAAGACACGGCAGGTAGGGATCCAGGCAGGTGAGGGGGATCCGAGCAGGTGAGGGGGATCCAGGCAGGAGGGATCCCAGCTCCAGGACCCCCAGGGCTGCCCAGGGATTGCTGGGTTCTTCCCCGGGCCCGGGGTCAGCCCAGCCGAGCCGCAGCCCCGCTCTCGCTGCAGCGGCCACTTCGGCGAGGTGAGGCTGTGCCGCGAGCGCAGCACCGGCGCCTTCTACGCCGCCAAATTCGTGAAGATGCGGCGGGGCCGGGGCGGCCGCCCGGGGCTGGAGCGGGCTCGGGTGGAGCGGGAGGTCTCCATCCTCCGCCAGCTCCAGCACCCCAACATCATCCAGCTCCACGAGCTCTTCTCCAGCACGGCCGAGGCGGTGCTCGTCCTGGAGCTGTGAGTGGGGTCCCGGTGGGCTGGGGGGACACCCCCTTTTTGTGCCGCGTGTTGGAGGCGGCCGAGCTCCGCCGTCCCCACCCCGCGCAGGATCCGCGGTGGGGAGCTCTTCGACTTCATTGCGGAGAAGGAGATGCTGTCGGAGGAGGAGGCCATCGAGTTCCTGGGGCAGATCCTGCGCGGCGTGGAATACCTGCACGCTCGCCTCATCGCTCACTTCGACCTCAAGGTGCCCGTGGGGACGCCCCAGCCTCACCCCCTGAGGATGCAAGGAGTGCCAGGCATCTCCAGAGCCCTGGTCCTGCTCTTCTCAGCTTGCCGGAGTGCTGCAGTGACCCCCACCACCCCTCGGTCACCTCAGCCCTGTCCCCACAGCCCGAGAACATCATGCTGCAGGAGAAGGATGTCCCCAAGCCCTGGATCAAGATCATTGACTTCGGGCTGGCCCAGCAGCTGGAGCATGGCACCACCTACAAGAGCCTCTGTGGGACCCCCCAGTACATTGGTACGGGGCTGGGGGTCCCTGCACTGCTGGGCTGCTCAGCCAGGGTGGGGATGGGACCCCCAGGCGTGCTCCCGTCCCCCTGATGTCCCAGCCTGGCTCTGTGTTTGCCCCCAGCTCCTGAAGTGATCAATTATGAGCCGCTGAGCCCCGCGAGCGACATGTGGTGAGGAGTCAGGACCTGGGGGGGGCACAACAGGGCGAGCTGGGGGTGGGTGGGACCCCCCTGGGTGCCACAGGGAATGGGGGGCCCCAGGGAGGGCAGCACCTGACCCCCACCTCTGCATTTCAGGAGCATCGGAGTCATCACCTACATTCTGTGAGTGTGGGGCAATGCTCTCTGTGGCTGGGGGAAACTGAGGCACAGCGACGCTGTGGGTGCTGGGGTGGCCGAGCCGGCGCTGTCCTGGCACTCAGCAGCTCTGTTGTGTCCCCACAGGCTCAGTGGCCTGTCCCCCTTCCAGGGTGAGACGGATGCTGAGACCCTCTCCAACGTGGTGGCTGGTGCCTACGAGTTTGAGCAGCGCTGCTTCAGCCAGACCTCGGACATGGCCAAGGACTTCATCCGCAGGCTGCTGGTGAAGGAGCCACAGTGAGGCCCCATCCCCTCCATCTCCGCCCCCACCTCCACCTTCAACATCCCCATCTTCATCTCCATCTCATCCTGGTCCCAGCCTCATCTTCATCCCCATCCCCACCTCCATCATCCCCACCTCTCTTTCCATCTCCATCTCCATCTCCATCTCCATCTCCATCTCCATCTCCATCCCATCCCATCCCTATCTCCATCCCATCCCATCCCATCCCATCCCCATCTCCATCTGCATCTCCATCCCATCCCATCCCTATCTCTATCCCATCATTATTTCCATCTCTATCTCATCCACATCTCCATCCCCACCATCTCCACCTCCATCTGGTTCCCTTCTCTGTCCCCACCAGCACTATCCTGAGCCTGAGCCTGACCCTAACACTATCCCTGAATCTAATCCTGACACTAACCCTAATCCTGACCCTAAACCTGCCCCTAACCCTAACCCTGATCCTGACCCCAACCCTACCCCTAACCCTGACCCTAACCCTAAAATTAACCCTGATCCTAACTCAAACCCAAATCCTAACCCTGACCCTAACCCTAACCCTAACCCCAAACCTTGACCCTGACCCTGACCCTAACCCCAAACCCTGACCCAGACCGTGACCCCAAACCCTGACCCTAACACTGATCCTAACCCCAAACCCTGACCCCTAACCCCTAACCTTGATCCTACCCCCAACCCCAAACCCTGACCCTGACCCCCTCCCCATCCCCGGTGGGTGTGTGGGGCCGGGACCCCCGACCCCAGCGCCTCCCTTTGTGCCGCAGGCGCCGCATGAGCGCGGCCGAGTGCCTGGTGCACCCCTGGATCAAGGTGAGCGGCACAGGCAGGGCCTGGCAGGCCCTGGCAGCGGTGCCAGTGCCGGTGCCAGTGCCGGTGCCAGCGCCACGTCCCTGTCCCCGCAGCCCCTGAGCAGGAAGCAGGCGCTGAGCCGGAGCCGTTCCTCCATCAACATGAGAAACTTCCGCAAGTTCAACGCCCGCAGGAAGTGGAAGGTGCCCGGCTGTGGGGTCCCAGCAGCCCTGAGTCCCCTGGGGAGCCCCCCCTGTGGTGGAGGGGGGGGTTAGAGCTGGGAGGGACCCCCACCTCGGACCCCCTCCCTTCTGTCCCCCTGTAGCTCTCCTACAACACCGTGTCCGCCTGCAACCGGCTGTGCCGTGTGAGGAGGGAGGATGAGGAGCTGGTGAGCCCCCAGACCCCACCCAGCATGGGCTGGGGAGGGCGGAGAAGGGATTTGGGGGGGTCTCTTTCAGTTTCTCTCTATGGCAGTGCCCTCTGTGCTGCAGAACCCCCGTTTTGGGCATCCCCCCTATTGCTGGCATGGGATGAGGGGAGTGTGGTGGGGGGCTTGGCCAGAGATGTAGGGCGGGGTGCTGTGCAGTGAGGGGTACCCCCTTCTCTGGGGGAAGCCCTGCCCCTGCCCTGCAGCCCCCCTGTGCCCCCAGCGCTGCTGTGAGAGCGACCAAGAGGAGGAGAGGAGCCCCCACGCCGCTCTGCTGCGCCGGCGGAGGAGCAGCTGCTCCTGAGCTCCTCCCAAAAAACACAGGAGCTCTGCGAGAGGAGCCTTGGGGGTCCCCCCATGGCCCCATCCAAGGGGCAGGGGCGCTCTCCACTCCTTGTTCCAGGGTGTTGGAGGGTCACTGGGGCATCAGCCAGGGCTGGGACCCTCCTCCCTGCTTTGTCCTCATGAGAAAAATAAATGTCACCTCCTCCTCTATCTTCTCCTGCTTCTCCTTCCCCTAAAGGGTGGCTGCTCACAGCCAGGCCGGTGCTGCGTGCCCGCAGCTCCCTGCCTCACTGCTGCTGCTCTGTGGGGACCCCAAAGCCGTGGGCTCCCGGCACCCCAGATTCACCCTGCGAGGCAGAGTCGCCCTTACATTGTCCCCTCTGTGCTGTCCCATGGCTGCTTTGCTGATGTCCCCCCTCCAGAGAAACCTGGAACCTCCTGCTCTCCTGGGGAAACTGAGGCAAGAGGCAGTTCTTGCTTCCCTCCCACTGCGGCGCGGGGGGGCCGCCCTGTTTTCCCCCTCTCTATTTCCCAAACATGCCCTGGCCCTGGCCCTGACAGTTGTCAGGCTAAATATTTTGTGTGCGGCAGCCGAAAACAAAAGTGAAGGGGCCGCAGGGTCCGGGCAGGGTCCGCGGGGCCCCCCCCAGTCCCGGCGCTCCCCCGGTACCGGCCGGACGCGGCGCGGCAGAGCCCGAGAGCGGCGGGGACGGGTCCTGGGGGTCCCGCTCGAGGATGGGGCCGAGGCTGGGGGTGATGCTGCTGGTCCTTGGCCACCTCCCAGTGCCCCCCGTGTGGGCTCCCAGCGAAAGTAAGTGCTTGGGAGCGGGGTGGGGGGGTGCTTGCTTTGGGGGGCAGTTTTGGGGCGGGGGCTGCCTGTGCTCGGGGGTCTGCAAGAGACAAACCCCGAGGCAAAGCTCTTGGGGTGTTCCCTGCCTGAGTTTGCCCCCCGGTGCTGCAGACCCCCCGTTTTGGGCAGGAGGGGCAGAGCGTGGCAGCCCCCTGCTGCTGGGGTGGGGTGAGGGGAGGGGAGTGGGGGGCTCGGCCGGGGATGGGTCCCTCAGCCCACCGGGATGGTGGGGAATTGTCACAGGAGTCGGGAGCGCTGCTCCCCGCGCAGCTGCTGCGGTGGGAAAGGTTGGGGAGGGGGTGCCATGGTGGGGAGGGGGGCAGCCGTTTTGGGTCTTATGGCCACAACAGGGGACAGCTGGGGGTCCGACGAGGGTCTGTCGTTTGTCCTGACTTCCCCTCTCCCTGCCACCCGTGCCTCAGTTTCCCCAGTCACCGAGGGGCTGTGCTGGGGGATGGGAGCAGCGGAGGAAGAGGATGAAGCACCAAGAGCTGCCCAGGGGACACACGACACTGTCCCTGCTCCCTCTGGGACCCCCGTCCTCTGTCTGTGCTCCCAGGGCACGGGGGACCCCTCCCCTTACAGGGGGACTTTGCGGGGTCAGGGAGGTGATGGTGGCAGAGGGGGCTGCAACCCTCGGGGTCAGTCCCGCAGGGGGACAGAGGGACAGAGGGAGGGGACAGGGCTCCCAGTGAGGGGCTGAACTTGGGGTGAGGGGCTACGGGCAGCTGCCAGAGCCACAGTGCCCACGGGGCCACAGTGCCCACGGAGCCACGGTGCCCAGGGGGCCACGGTGCCCAGGGGGCCACGGTGCCCACGGTTCATGGGTGACACCAAAAGGGGAAAATTGCCACCAGACATGAGGTCACAAGGACATGGCCATGAGCCCGGGCTGGCAGCGGGCAGATGAGGGGTGAACCATGCCCCTGGTCCCCTCCAGGACCTGGCCCTGGTTTCTGGCTGGGGATGCTGTCAGTGGGAAGCTCTGTGCTTAGTCTGGCTCTGCATCCATGCCAGGATCAGGAAGCAGGAGGTGCTGGGGCTCGTGGTGTCCATTTCTGGGTGGAAAAGCCCCAGGACAGCCAGTGTGGGGCTGGGCAGTGCCAGTGGTAGCCTTGTGTGCCCCATTACCTTTCTGGGGACAAGGGGGCATTAATGGGGACAGCCTTGCTGGAGCTGCCACTGGGTAACCGTGAGTGGGGAGATCCGTGAGCCCCCACAGCTGCCCCGCAACCTGGGGAAGGAGAAAAACCATCTGCACCCCCAGACAGCTTCCCCCAGGGCTGGGACACGATTGTGGGGCTGACACGGGGCAGGGCAGCCTGCCAGGCCTCGTTAGCATCGCTGCTGACGGACGCGCCGTGCCCCGGAGAGCCGCGGCGCGCCGGCTGCTGCCAGAGCTGCTCACATCTCCAATCCCAGCCACGCTTGACAGGCAGCACCAGGAAATTAAACCCCCCTGAGCATCACCTGGGGGTCCCTGGGTGGGAGCGGGGGCTGCCCCGTCCCTGCTGCTGCCCATGGGGTCCCCCTCTCGCCACCCCAGTCTGCGGCAGCATGGACATCCGCAACGACGTGTCCCAGCTGCGGAAGCTGGAGAACTGCTCCATCATCGAAGGCAACCTGCAGATCCTGCTGATGTTCACCACGGGCGCCGAGGACTTCCGGGGGCTCAGCTTCCCTCGCCTGCTCATGATCACAGAGTACCTGCTCCTTTTCCGCGTCTACGGGCTGGAGAGCCTGCGGGACCTCTTCCCCAACCTCTCCGTCATCCGCGGCACCAACCTCTTCTTCAGCTACGCCTTGGTCATCTTCGAGATGCCGCACCTGCGGGACGTGGGGCTGCACAGCCTGGGCCACATCCTGCGCGGCTCCGTGCGCATCGAGCGCAACCAGGAGCTCTGCCACCTCTCCACCATCGACTGGGGGCTGCTGCTGCCCGACAGCGCCGACAGCACCTACATCGTGGGCAATAAGCTGGCCGAGGAGTGTGCCGATGTCTGCCCGGGCATCCTGGATGTGGAGAAGCCGTGCGTGCAGACCAGCGTCAACGGACAGCTGGATTATCGCTGCTGGACCTCCAGCTACTGCCAGAAAGGTGGGTGCTGCTGGCACGGGGCCTGCTTGGGCTGCTTTGCTGGGATGGTGCTGGTTTGCACTGCGGGGCAGACTGGGAGGGCGCTGGAGGAGGCTGCTGGGGCCACCTGGGAATGGCAGGCCCGGCGTGTGGCTCCCCTGCTGCTGGGAGCGTGCTGTGCAGGCAGCACGGTGGGGTAACCAGATCCGTGCTGTATCATCCTCCGAGGAGAGGCCAGCTCCTGGCTGCTGTGTTTTCCCAGCGGCGAGGTAAATACAGGCCCCTCCTGAACTCGTTTTCTGTAAACAGGAGAGCTGGTAATGAAATATGTACTATAAACACAGATCCTTATCAGGGCTGCAACCTCAGCTGTGGCCCCGGCCTGGCTGCACTGGGCAGATGGGGTTCAGCATGGGCCAAACCCCACCTTGTCCGTCCATCTGTCCTGCTGTCCCTCCATGCAGCCCCTCATCCACCCATCCAGCTGCTCACTCAGCCACCCACCAACCCACCTGCCCGGCCAGCCACACATCACATGGCTGTCCATCCGTTTCTCCATCCCTTTGGGCACCCTTTCCATCAGTGCTGCCATGCCTCCATCCACTTCTCCATCAATCCATGCCTGTATTCCGCACTGCATACCTGCATCCTTCCCTTGCTCCCTCTGTTCTTGCATCCCCACATCCCAGCATCCCTCCTTCTGTCCCAGCATCACGTTCTGCCCTTCGTCACACCATCCCTCCCTCCATCCCCACATCCCAGCATCCCTCCTTCTGTCCCTGCATTGCATTTCTCTCTTCATTCCAACATCCATCCATCCCTCCCTCCATCACCACATTCTTCCATCACCACATCCCAACATCCTTCCTTCTGTCCCTGCATCCCTCCCTTCATCCCACCATCCTTGCATTCCTCCATCACCAAATCCATCCCCACGTCCCTCCCTCCCTACAACCCTTCATCCCACCTTCCATCCCTCCATCTCTGCATCACATTCCTCCTTCATCCCACCATCCTTCCCTCCCTCCATCTCTGCATTCCTCCACACCAAATCCATCCCCACCATCCCTCCCTGCCTGCATCCCTTCATCCCACAATCCATCCCTCCCTCCATCACCACATTCTTCCATCCCCACATCCCACCATCCCTCCCTCTGTCCCTGCATCACATTTCTCTCTTCATTTCACCATCCCTCCCTCTATCCCTTCATTCCTCCATCACCAAATCCATCCCCACATCCCTCCCTGCATCCCTGCATTGCTCTATCATTGAATCCCTCTGCCCCTGCATCCCTTCATCCCATCATCCATCCCTCCCTCCCTCCCTGCATCCCTTCATCCCTCCCTCCATCCCTGCATCGCATTCCTCCCTCCGTCCCTGCATTCCTCCATCACCAAATCCATCCCCACATCCCTCCCTGCATCCCTGCATTGCTCTATCATTGAATCCCTCTGTCCCTGCATCCCTTCATCCCACCATCCATCCCTGCATTCCTCTATCACCAAATCCATCCCTCCCTCCCTCCCTCCCTCCCTCCCTGCATCACATTCCCCGAAGCTCTGTGCTTAG